GAGAGCTTCTCTCTGTACGTACTCATAGTTAAAATCTGTTTGGATATTTGAATTAAAAACAATTATTTGGTTAAGTTGTTGAGGAACAAATGAACCACAACCCATTGGTGAGGTTAAAAAAAAAGGCCTATACACTAGATATAGGTACCAGCTAGATGGAAAAAAAAAAAACCTCTGGAAAAATAAAAGATAGATAAGGCAAAGCCAAGCCATATCCCTCCACCAGCTCCTCTGCCTATTCATTCTCTGCATGCCCCACGGGTCCCAACTTGTCAATGAACAGCCCAAGGCCAGCCAGGGCTGGGAGGAGACTTATCAAGAACTCTATAATGAAAACTCACCAGCTACTGTTGAGAAATAGGGACAGACAAACACATCCCAGGTTGAGTTGAGATAGAAAAGGGACAGCTAAACTGAAGCATGCTACCTGGGAGGATCTGAAGCCCCACAGAGACCAGGGAGGAGGGTTCTCATTGTAGCTGAACATCAGTGAAAATCTTATTGTAATATCCTGCATAGTGAAGGGGAGGGGGGGAAGGCTGGTTTCCCTGGAAACTATGTATTTGGTGCCAAAATAACTAGGGAACCGGGCACAGCTTTGTTTTCTTCCTATAGTGAAATTCTGCTGGAGCCCATCAGAATACTTGCTTCAACTGGATAACCAGGAGGGATGGGCTAGTGAACTGTGAAGACAGCACAGGAGCCCACCCCACCCCAAAATGGTTTTTTCACCAGGCAGCTTTCTGTTTGTAGTTTGCATAGTACAGACTCCCCCACCCACAGTATCCTATCCAAAGGACCTCAGCCCTTTGCCTCATTTCTTTCCTTCCTCAATTCCCAAGCCAGAGAGGCTCTGACCCAACCATAGCCCTGACTATGGAGGTGAGGAGGGAGGCTGAGGCACAATCCCTTTTCTCCCACTATCAGCTGACTGACGCCAGGCGCCAAGAGCACAGGTCCTCTCCCATCTGGTCAGAAAGGAGACAGACGAGAGTCCTGGAGCCACTGAAGCCTCAGCCCCAGGGAAACAGTTCACCAGGGCAGCCTTGGGGGAGGAGGAGGCCAGAGCCACAGAAAGAACAAAACCAAGAGCCTGGAAAGCCCTGACCCCAGAGGCTCAGATCCCCAGGGGCTCCCAGTGAATGGGGATTCCTCCGGATTTAAAGGAAGAGAAGTTTGAGAAGCTTCTATTTTGAATCCATGCTTAGGGTTCCTTCTGCATTTCAGCTCCTCCCTCCAGGTTTGGGGCCAGATCTGAATTAACAAGCAAAGCCCCAAGGCCCCCTCCTCTGAAAAGAGCCAGGACAGCAGCTAGATGGACGCCCTTTAGAGCTCCCTAGATGGTAACCTTCCCAGGCCACACACCCCTAACTCCCCACCCACCCCCAGTTTCAGTTTCCACAAATGGGCCTGAGAAAAAGCTCCCAAATCCTGGCCTGATGATTCCTGACAAATGACTAGGAAGAGTTTGCATACTGTTTTCTCATAGGCTTTGCCAGAGCTCAGGAAAGTGGTGGAAAAGGAAAAGAATTAAAATCCCATTTACACATAGAAAATATAAATGTAGATGGGGCTGGGCACCCTGCTTTTGGATGAATTTCTTAGGAAACGCCCCCCCCACTTCTCCCTAACTCCACCAGAGCCCCAGGAGGCAATGAGCACAAAAGAGAAATTTCAAAAATGCAAAGCCGGGACAGTCTCCTCGAGGGCTAACTCTAGGCCTCAGCCACTCAACCAGAACCTGGAGGGAGGCACTTTCCCTTGCTGTCAGCTCACTGAGAGGACAGGGGTTTCCAAGGGGGATGGGGAAACACAAAATGGAAAATGAGTAAGTGAAAAGAAACTTAAAAAAAAAAAAAGAAAGAAAAAAGAAAAGAACCCAAACACCCTAGGAAAGCTTGGGTAAGCAAGGGCTGCTCCCAAAGCCAAGATAGATTCTGGGACCAGGGTCCACAAAGGACCCCCAGGGGACCAGGGTCCACAAAGGACCCCCAGGATGCTGGCTGGGGTGGTTCAGGGCTCCTAAAGCCTCACCTCAAACAGGAGCATCACAGAACATATCTAAGAAACACCCCCAGCCACACTGTCAATAGGAGAGCCAGGGAGAAACCCAAGGCCAAGAGGTCCCTCCTAAGCCGGAGCTGGCCCCAACTTCTGCTCTACACGGGGAAGGGCAGAGCACACAGCTCTCATCTCAGGCATGGAAAAAGGCCGTTTCCAGAGAGGTACCTAAGTCTTTTCCATTCAAGCCGCCCAGGGACAGGGATTTTACCTTTAGGCCTCATCGGGTAATTCATCACATCCATAACCTAGAACCCACTATTCAGACTATCACGGTTGTAGCGCTGGAAGCCTCAATCTTGGGGAGGGTGTAGTGCCAACAACTCCCAACAGCCCACTTAGTTCCTTCTCCAATCCCACAAAGCAAGGCCCATGAAGAGGAAGAGGCGCTACGAGACCCACGGCTCAGACCCAAGCCTCTAAGGGGCGTAACCCTATCCGCAGGTGCGGCCACCTCCAGTCCCTAAGCCCATTCCGGCTCTTAGCCCTCAGGGTCCAGGATGACAGGGGTTTGTATGGGAGGCTTCAAGCATACAGCCCTCACCCCCAAGTCCCAAGGATATTGAGAAGGCTCCTGCCAGGCACCACACCTCTGGCAGCGCAGAGAGCGCAACCGGCTTGGGAGAGGAGAGATGCTGCGCTCACGTCCTCCCTCAGTCCCAGAGTCTGTCCCCAGGTCCCTCTCAGTCGGCTAGCCCCTTGGCAATGACCACCCTGGTGTTAGTGATGGGTACAATCAGGGCCTAGGCCCACGCCAGGCCCAGCCCTCTTCCTGCCTGCCCTCCTCCCTTACCACCCCCCCACCCCCAGTGCTCGGTCTTGTTTCGTCACCGGATCCCCTGGAATGGGGGACGCGGGCGCGAAATACGAACCCAGCCACAGGCAGTTCCCTCCCCACGTGCGCGCTGGCCCTCTGCACACAGTGTAGCCAGGAGAGGGGGCGCCTCACCTTTGCCCTCCATGGCATGCACGAAGTCCCCCTGGTACAGCTGGCTACGTAGCTTCTCCTCCAGGCTGAAGCCACGGACGCTGACGATTTCCTCCACGTCCGACAAGTCCTCGTTTTCGTCGTATCTCTGGCGGTCAATCGCACGCTGCGGGGACCCAACCAGAGAACCCGGGACATTACTGAGAGGACTTGGGGGTCTCCTCTCACCCTGGGCCCACCACAAACAGGTGCAAGAGCCGCGCGTCCACTGCACCCCAGCATTGCAATCTGAGTAACTTTGCGCAAATGCCAAAGATGCTGAAAAGCAGAAAAAGGGGCTCACACCCCCAAGGCCCAACTGTCTGTACACGAAGCACTCGCTTCCTGCATCTTTTGAAGCCGTGGAAATGCTATTTGGGGGCTTTCCTTTGCCCCCACCCCAGTGGTGTACAGAGCTTTGCCCGCTCTACAGGGAGCCCGGTTATGTAACCCCTGAAGGGGGCTCGGGGCATGAGCTGGCGGGGCAGATGTAGGCCCCGAGAGAAGCCGCTGCAGCGCCCGGCTCAGCGGTAACAGCAGCCCCGGCGGCCACAGCGGCCAACCCGGGAAGCCGGAACCCGGGGCCGGCGGCATTTCTAAGGCTGGAGCCGCTCCGGAGCTACAGAAAAGCTGGAAAGCTGAAACGGAAGGGTTGAGACCCTAACCGCCCCCGCCGGCCGACCGCTAGTGCAAGGAGGAGGAGGAGAGGGGGGAAGGTTAAGAGCTTGGGGAGAGGCAGCTGGCCCACCACAAAGCTTCCATCAGAGACCCCAAAACGCACCAGCAGCTGCCTCATCTCCCCACAAGCGCGCGCGCACACTCACTTCCTAAGGAGTCTCCCCCACCACTCCCCGCATCCCTCTTCCTCCTCCCTCCGCCGCCCAGCACCGAGCCCCGCAGCCCCCCAGGATCCCAGGCGAACCCCGAGCCCGCTCAGCCTCCTCCACGCCTTTCGGCGCTACCTCCTCCCCACTTAAGTGTCTGAGACCCTGAGCCTCACAAGAGACTGGAGGAGTAAGCTGCTTGCTTCCTTTTGCATGCAATTTATTATTTTTTCCGGTCCTCTTGCAAAATACAGAAAAGGAAAGAAAAGGCAGCAAGAAACAACCAAAAAAATAAATCGACCATATACCAGATACAGATTTGGGGAAAAAAAAAAAGCTACACACCAATCTTCTTCCAGAGTCTTTCTCTGCCTCCATTTTTTTAGGAGAGTTCACCAATTAATTGTCAACACTCCTGCCCCCTGCATTTTGGCGGAGGGGGGGAGGAGGGAAGACTAAAGAAAAGAAACCAAAAAATAAATAAATAGAGCAAGCCAGAGCCGATATCTACAAAGTTTTGCACCAACACTTAAGCAGATCCGTTTGCAAAGTCCTAGGAAACCATTTTCAGCAGTTGTGGGGGGGAGGCGTCGACGTCATAATCCCCGGAACGTAAACATTGTTGCAGATCGCGCTCGGAGCTTGCGGCTGGGCTAGTTGGGGAGAAGGGGGGGCTCGGGTTGGGGGTGTCGGGGACCACAGCCGTAGGAGGTGTGGGGCCAGAAGGGAGCCTGGGACGCACCCGGCGCCGTTAGCGCCTTGGCATCGCTGTTTTGTTGTTGGGTCACGAGTGCGCCTCTGCACGCAGGCGCCGCCGCCGCCCGGGAGCTGACTTTTGGAGGGTTGAGTTGCAGGCGGCGGGCGCATCCCAGAGATGGCGGGGCAGGGAGGGAGGGAAAGAGAGGAGGGGGTGGGGAGGAGGTGCAGATTTGCACGGATGGCCTCAGCGGGAGGCACGGAAATGCTAGCCGAGCCTGCTGGCGTGAAAGCCCCCGGGGCCTGCCACCCCCCAAAACGACCCCCCACCTCTGCCCCTGCCCCCTTACTCGGATTACCCACGGCTACTCCTCTCTTCCTGCGTCTATCTCTCCTCATTACCTGCGCTGGTAGCCTAAATTCCAATTTTGTTTGTATGTATTATTTATTTTTCTGGTTTTGCTTTTCTACTGCATGTCTGGGGGGGGGGAGGGGCCAGCCTGTCCAGACCCCTATCCGTTTGCGAACCTGCCATATGGAGAGGGTATCTGAGGGGCTCAGAAAGAAATTAGCGCAGCTCTGTATCTGTAGACTGCATAACTTTTAAGCTCCCGGGACTGAAATAATAATATGGGCACACACGCATAGGTACAGGAAATACAGCCAGTCCACGGCCTTTTCAGACTGCAGCTGACCGGAAGACAGCCTTTCATTCATTCATTTGGACAACCTCGGTTGAAGAGCCCTGAAATCAGAAGTTGGGTGAGAAAAGAAAAAAAAGTCTCTACACTCGCTGAGAAGAGATAAATCGATATACAGGAGGGAAACAGAATCCGAGTCAGCGTTTCTAATGCAAGTCAGAAGCAGGCGAAAGGTAAGCTCCTTGTGTGGCAATTTAAGAGGAAAGCGGTGGGGATGGCAGTGGCTTTCTGAGATAGCACACCTTGATTAATTCATGCTGTTTCTTAGCGGAGGTAGGGGCACCCTCTGAATATGCACAGAATATCCGATCCGCAGTGTTCCTCTGTCCCCTTGAGTAGTGCTTTTGACTGCTCCCGGAATTGGTCCTGAGTGATCCTGTAATACCAAAATGGGCAGGTCAGGCCCTAAACTTAGTTCCCACCCAGCCTCTTACGCCCTACAAGGCCTAATGACTTAGCACCAGGAATACTCTTGAGAGACCACTTAGATGATCCTACTAGGTACCGATTGCAACTTCTTACCCAGTATGCAAGTTAAAGCAGATCAGTTTGCACATTTCGAAACCCAGATTCAGAAATTATGAATCTGGGTGTTGGTTTTTTTTATCTTGTCCCAGTGTCAACAGCGCGGGCGCAGACTGATGTGGGTAGGAAGTGAATTGCCACCTGAGCTCAGCTGTGAGCCACCACTCAGAACTGGTCACTCCTAGAGATAACCTGCTTCTCCTCACTCCCATTGGAATGTCCTACCTTTTCGTGCTGTACTTGTTCCTGCCTGTCCCCAAAGCTATTGTTTGAAGTTTGTTTTAATTCCATCCATGCACGTTAGCGGTAGAAATCTTTTACATTGGGATGAGGCAACATCAAACTTTGTCACCAGTGGAAATCACATCTGCATTGGTTCAGCTGCATCCAGTGGGAAGACTTTCTAACCACCCCTCTGCTGAAAACCAGGGGCCAGCTGGGATGTAGTGTGGAGGTGGGACATTTGGCCTAGCAACCAACCATAAAGCCCTGGGTTCCAAACTCAACACCAAAAAACAAAACAAAACAAAAACATGGATCATTTTATTTTTGAGAAAGAATCTTTTAGACCGCTTAGCCATGCTACCGATGAGAAAAAATCTTGTAAAGGAAATGTCTTGTACCTCTGTTTCTTAAACGATGAAGCTGGGATTCAGAAAGGCAAAACTATTCACCCATGATCACACAATTTACCTTTTTAAATGTTCACCAGTTTCATTTATGCTTCAAAATGAAATAAAGCTGCTTAAAGGAGGGGCTTGGGTTGAGAATCAGTGCAAGCATAAAGCAAAACTGTAAATTGGGACACTTGAGCTCTTCCTTCATCCTCCTCCCTGGGGCTCTCTCTCCTCTTTTCCTCTTTGGCTTCCTGAAGTGCCTTAAATGCTGGCATGAGAAAAAAGTCTAATGTTAGCCACTTTCGTATAAAAGCAGTTAAGTCCATATATCACATCATTGGGGAGTTCCTGCCTTGTCAAGAGTGGGAAGGGGTGGGTGACTAGTCACCTGATTTAATCCCCTCCCTTTACAAACTTCGAGGAAACCACAGACCTGAGAGAAGAATGGGCCAGCCTGCAGTCTGTTCCCCTTTGACTCCCCCAGAATGGCTACCCCTCTGCAGGGTCTAAGTGGTCACTCAATAAACGTTGGACCCTTGATGGATCACCTTCTCCAGCATATTTGCATTTTCTCTTTATCAGTAATTGGCAGATGAAAGGCCCTGTCCTCGGTTGAAAGAATTCCAAGCATTCGCTCCAAGTGGGGGAGGAGGTTATTTTGGACCAAAGGGGGAAGGGCCAGACCCTTGAGCTGTAACTTTGGCTGGTTGTTCCGGAGGAGCTTAGACTAGGTGCGAGTAAGAGAAAAGATGAAGGGGCTCATTCAAAAGATGAACTTTTAATGCAGAAAAACACCAAGCCAGCACTACTGGAAACAAAGTAATAATGACTTCCTGTACCTTGTGCTTGGTCTTGTAAAAGAAAGGCCCAGTCAAATCCTACCTGTGTTATACTCATGGTGTTGTTTCATCCCTCCTCACGAGCTAATTAAGCATCTCTGTCCAAAGACAAGAAAAAAAAAACATAGAAGTAATAGCTTCACTTACACGCACACACAATGTGAGGTGGCTGGGAAGTATACCAATGGCTTAACAAGATGATGACTGATTCTGGATGGAGCCCTCAGATGCCAGGGTTTCTGGACTGGGAAGAAACAAACTGTTCTCATCCCATTATACTGGCTCTTGGCTTTCCTCTCTGTAAGACAGGGTCTTCACCTAGCCCTAGATAGCCTGGAACTTGCTATATAAACCAGGTCAGTCTCAAACCTTGCCTGAGCCTCCTGCCTCTGTCTCCTGAGTCTTGGGACTAGGTGCTAGCTTGAGGCTTTTAAGAACTTGTGGTACCTGTAAGCTTCATAGCTGCCATCTCTTTAAATCGTTGCCAATTTCTCCCCATTTACAGCTAAGGCTCAAAGAAACACTAAGGTATTTGACCACATTAGGACTGAAGCAAGAGCTTGTAGGAATCCAGAGCCCACAAGACTGGCCACTATGTAAGCTTGCCTTTGGGACGATGACGTAAAACGGATAGGGATATTGTATACCTTTGCTGTCAGTTACGGCTGCCCGAGACGTGTGTGCGCAAGTGCATGAGCTCATGGGACAGAACCCAGCTACTTGTGGATGATAACCAAGAGCTCATTCTACTGTGAAAATATGCTTGTAGCAGAATAGTCAGACTCAGGCTGGGCATGGTAGTGCATGCCTGGGTAACATAATGAAAACCTGTCTCAAAAATTAAAAAAAAAATTAATGGGTTAGGGTTAGGGTTATAGCTCAGTGAACCAACACTTGCCTAGCCATCATATGCAAGACCCTGGATCCAATCCCAGAGCTGCAAGCAAACAAGCAAACAGAAACTTAAAACAATGAAGCCTTTGGGTATTTGCCACTATTGCTCTTAAAGTACCTACCAGGCTATTTATGCATGAATCAAGATCCTATTTGGCTTAGCGTCTCCATAATCAAACTACCCCAGAACATTAATTGAATGAGTGAAGAGCCCATGGAGGCAAAGATATCAGCAAAGGTTGTATGGAAGAGCGCGTATGGTACAATGTGAATTCTGCAGCCTTGGACTTCAAAGCACTTGCTCCTAAGGCCTGGGAGCCTGGCTGGCTACCAGTTGGATGGGATTGACCCACCTGCCCACATCTTAAAAAATAAACTTCTAAAGGATGATGTATATCCTATGGATAGACTCAAGGACCATACGATATAACTCAGAACTTGAGTCACACATGGTAGCATATTCCTTTTAACATCAGCATTAGGGAGGCTCAGGCAGGGGGATCAGGAATTCTAGGCTAATCATAGTGAGGTCCTGTCAAAAACACACATAAAAAAAAAAACTAAGCCAGGCGTTGGTGGCGCACGCCTTTAATCCCAGCACTCGGGAGGCTGTGGGTTCAGTTCACAGCATGCTGGCAGATGGGGGGGGCACATGAGCAGAAATTAAATGCAATAAAACCCTATGTGTTCAAGATCCAGCACTGACAAATCTTAGACAAGTTTTACTCTATTTTGTATTATATATTGCTTTTGTAACTTTTTTTTTTTTTTTTTTTTTGGTTTTTTGAGACAGGGTTTCTCTGTAGCTTTGGAGGCTGTCCTGGAACTCACTTTATAGACCAGGCTGGCCTCGAACTCACTGAGATCCGCCTGCCTCTGCCTCCCGAGTGCTGATGCCCAGCGCTTTTGTAACTTAAAGTATGCTTTATTTAATGTATCAGCAGACCAAGCTGTTTCTGTTAAAGTAACTGTTTATTTTGTTTTTTAGTCCTCAGTCCCTTGTGGATTGAAGTCAAAAAGGAAACACAAAACTATACAAAGACTGTCAGGCCTGACCCTTGGGGGGGAAGTTTAATGTTCTACCTAGAATCCTGCTTTTCGTCATGTCTCTTCCTGTGTAAGAACGGGAAGAACCTGTGAAACCACAGGTGAGTTAAAGGGTTAATGCAGTGAAGAGAGTCATAAAAGTTCAAAGATTCTTTCAAAACTTGAATCTTGGGATTGATGGACATGTATGGTAGCCAATGGAAATAAAAGGGCAGGCATGACTTCATCATGCTCAGTTGTCACTGGCTGACAATCCCTGAGGGATGGACAAGAAGGCTGGCAGTTAACCCTTCAGGGCCTACCATGCCCTTTGCATTTCTTTTATTTTGAAAGATGAAGCACAAACAGAAGAGCCTCCAAAAGCCCTCCCACCTTCAGGTGCTATCTTTGAGTCCAACTCCTAGAGACAGGGTCTCCTATCAAAGGAATACCAGGGAACAGAGGTCCTGGAGGAAAGTTTTGAAAGACAAGGAATCAGCTGACCTCGCTGAGTAGGAGGCCAGGGGAGAAGTTTGATGCACTTTTTGTGCTGTCAGAACACAGACCCATGTTGGAGACATTTCCATTAATCTTGTAAAGTGATCAGTCACTGGAAGGATTGAATTGCATTTCCTGCCCAAAGATGTGGAGACTGATGACCTTTGCCGCAGCCCTCAGACCCCAGTTCACAGCTGGAGAGAGGATGTGTCAGCATTTACTTTCCAGTCTCACCCAGCCCTTTGTTCAGAGCTCCAACCCTTTGTGCTCAGGCTGCTGCAGGGGATTTTGCAGTTGTTAAAGCAGATGCAGGTTTTTTTTTCCCCCCTAACCTCCCACTTCTTACAGCTTCTGAGAAACAAACTCTACTAGGCAGAAGATGGTATCTAAAAGCTGCCCCAGAGAGAGAACCAGAATAGATGTGGGGATTTTGAGAGGCCACTTGGCCTTTTGGCTATAACCATCACCCCTTCCTAGGTTTCCTGAATACTTCAGGCTGACCAGACGTCCAGCAGATTCATAATGTCTCATGTTTAGGTGGCTTGATTTAAAAACAAGAAGGGAACAAAGCTTTTCTGTGTCTTGTCTCAAGTCAAAGGCACCGCTGGAATGAAGGCATTTATGTAAAGGGACATTGTAAACCTCTAGGCAGTACATCCAGATACAGGACACTGGAGGACCGTCAGTTTTCTCACCTGTAAAATGGAGGTTGTGCTAATAAACACACTCTAGTCACATGAGTACTGTATGAACCAAAGTCAGACAGGGGCTCATCCAATGATGCTACTCAAATGAAGCTGATGTTCTGGGTACCATAACACTAACAGTTTGTTTTCTTCCAGGTTTAAGGTTCAGGGGGAGATTCACCTGTGGAGGATGGAGTAGTTATTTCCCCAGCCATATTCCCTCTTAGCTTGACCTCATTGCCCTGTGTATTTTGAGTCCTTTGACTAAACATTCCTGTCTCCCCTAGACCTTTTCAACTGCTGGCCCTCCCCTCTGCATTTTATCCTGCTAGCTGCCACCTCTATACCATCCTTCTCCTAGAATCTGCTTAGGTATCTTATTTCCTGCCACCCTAATGCTAAGCACATTATGTTGGCCTGAAGTTTCCTCAGGGAATCTGACCCAGGATTCCAGCAGATAGCAAAATGCAAGCATACTCAAGTCCCATAATGGTGGTGTTTACATAGAACCCCCATCTTCCTGGTGTTCTTTGAATTATTTCAAGATTACTTTGAATACCTAATAATTAATTGACACTTAAATAGTTACAATATAGTTGTGTTGTTTAGTGAATAATGATAAGGCAGAAAAGATGGGGTAGTGGAGAAATAAAAAAATTTTAAAACCCTATTAAGTATGGAATTCCCCCCCCCCCCAGTACTGGAGAACCTACAAGGGCCTTGTACTCTACCACTGAACTATATTCCCAACCCTTTTTCTCATTTTCTTTTGAAACTTGGCCTTCCTAAATTGTCCAGGCTAGCCTTCAACTTTGAATCCTCATCTCAGCTACAATCTAATGCCCAGCCAGATGGAATTATTTGTGCTGCTGTTTTTCTTGTTTTACATTTGTATTTGCCTTTGTTGTGTGTGGGGATGCACCAAAGCTCATATGAGGAAATCCGAGGACAACTTGAGGGAAGGAGTCGCAGGGATCAAACTCAGCTCACCAGGCTTGGTGAACAGCGTCTTTATTCGCTGAGCCATCTTGCCAGTCCCTAATTCTTTATTATTGTTGTTTTCAGACAGAGCCTTCCTTACGGTCTTGTCTGGCCTGGAGCTCACTGTGTCGACCAAGCTGGCCTCAAACTCAGAAAGAGCCACTTGCCCTCAGCCTCTTAGATGCTAGTATTACAGGCATAAACTACTACATCTAACTCCAGATGGAATTCTTTACATTTTCTGAGGTTGGAGATAAAGTACCTAGCATATACAAGGGAAACTAACAGTAAAAATGGTGGGGGCAGGAAAGGTGCCTCAGGGTTTAAGAGTGTTTACTGAGCAACCACAAATTCCTGAATTTGGCTCCTAACACCTACATAATCTTAGCCTGATCTTATATACACCAGTACTATATAGAGGTAGAGACAGGATTGTTGCAGCTCACTGGCTGTTAGCCTATCAGAAAAACATGAGCTTCAAGTTCAGAGAGACCCCGCCTCAAAGGAATAAGATGAAGAACGAGGACACCTAATGCCCTCCTTTGGTCTCTGAATGCGTATGTCCAAGCATCTGCACATCACACACACACTAATCATCCAATCCACAAATGCTGAACCTGGGACAATGGAAAGTGCTGGGTGCATCTTGTTGCCTGTGCTGTCACCAGACTGCCCTAAAACCAGGGAGGTCCTTCCGCATGTGCCTAGCTTTATAGTGCTGGGGCTATGTGTCATAGGATCAACATGGACAGAACTGTGCTTTGTGCATGATAAGCAAGCACTTAGCTACATCCCCACATCCCTGTCTGTCACTTTAATACACCTCATATCTCAAACAGCACCTCTGTTTACTCTAAAACTACAGCTCAAATGGAAGCCTGCCACCCTACCATTCCTCCCCAGATGCCCACACTTGTTTTACCTCCCATGGTGCTTAGAGTTTCCTTCCCCTGGATAAATAACTGTAATAGCTTTTGCAGGTGGTGTCAGTGGCTTTAACCGTTTTCAAAGTAACATTAATTCACAGATCACTCATGAAACATAATCTTGATATGCACACACAGCAGCCTTCACAGGAAACCTTCCTGTTCCCTCCTATCCCTCCCATGCCACCTATTCCTGGCAGAGCAGGCTATCCCCAGGGAGGGTGGAATGCTCTGAAAAAGGATAGTTGGTTCTTCTCCCCATCTCCAAGGGAAACTCTTAGCCATCTCACATCTGCCTGTCTTGTTAATAAGTAAAAATTCATTACAAAGACAGGCCTTGATTTCAACCCCATTTAAAAGTACAGGTTGGCCGGGCGTTGGTGGCGCACGCCTTTAATCCCAGCACTTGGGAGGCAGAGGCAGGCGGATCTCTGTGAGTTCGAGGCCAGCCTGGTCTACAAGAACTAGTTCCAGGACAGCCTCCAAAGCCACAGAGAAACCCTGTCTTGAAAAAAAAAAAGTACAGGCTAGAAAGATGGCTTAATGGTTAAGAGCACTTGCTGAGCGGAGTGGTAGTGCATGCCTTTAGTCCCAGCACTCAGGAGGCAGAGGCAGGCAGATCTCTGTGAGTTTGAGTCCTGGTCTACAGAGGGAGTTCCACGACAGCCAGAACTATTACACAGAGAAACCCTGTCTCAAAACAAACCAACAACAATAACAAAAAAAGTGCTTGCTGCCTGGGTTCAGTTCCCAACACTGACCTGGTGGCTCACAAGCATCTGTAGGCACATATGAGGTACACATACGTGCAAGAAAAACACTCCTACACATTAAATAAGTATAAAAAGGAAAAATTGTAAGTACATACAAATAATCTTTTTGTTTTGGGACATGATCTCACTACAGCCCTGACTGTCCTTGAACTCATTATGTAGACCAGGTTGACCTCAAAAACTCAAGAGATCCGTCACTTTCGCCTCCTAAGTATTGGGATTGAAGGTGTGTACCTTTAATCCCAGCAGTGGGGGTGTCAGGGAGTGAATCCCTGAGTTTGAGACCAGAATGTTCTACAGAGCGAGTTCCAGACAGCCAGGGCAACTCAAAAACCTTGTAAGTTACATGGAGAAGTAAACTTCCCAAACCCTGAAATAAATAATGCCTATTTTCAGCTCAATCAGTTAAATTTTAAAGGGTACCATTGTGGTGGTGGTAGTAATTATGCAAGCTCTTAGGGGCCTTCCTGACAATAAAAACCTGCTCCAGTGTGGAGCTGGGGGAAGGCGGTGCTGGGTCTCTCTTGTCTCCTCCTCAGTATAACAGACTGCCACCACAGGTGATGAGATCCACTGGGCAGAAGCTGAGTCACAGGCCAGTGAGGACAGAGCACCAGCTTCTCTGCACATCGGAAGCCGTCAGACAGGCTCCCTGCATCCTCCTCCGGAACCCCAGTCTAAGGTGATGAGTGAGGGGAAGAAAGGTGCCATTTGTCAGGCCCAAGCTGGTCGCTAGGTAACTGGCCCCACCCTGCCTGGCCTTACCAGCTCATGACAGAACTGAAGGTTGGGGGGTCCCAGAGCCAGCTGTTAACTTGAAATTAGCCAATGGTAGCAGAACATTCTGGGGAACTTTCTCTTCTGGTTTTGGTCTCTGGAATTTGGAAGCAAGTGTGACACTTGCTGTGTCTACATTATAGTCCCAGGTACTTGGCAAGAGCCCAGGGAAAAATAATTGGCAAGATGGGTTCTCAAACCTTTAAGGTAGTGTGGTGTCCCTGAGGATGTGACATCACCTCTTACCCAGTGGGGAACAGACACTGTTGGGGGTGTGAAATCAGACCATAGGAACCATAGTCATGTTCCCTGGTGGCTTTTCCTATAATTTTCTCTGAAGCAGTAATCACCATTTATCATGTCTTCTTTTATTTCCCACTAGGATGCCAATGTGACAAAGAAAAAATTATTCTCCTTCCCTTAAACAGAAGCTGGCACATTGTAGGTTCTTGGTAAATATTTGTTGAAAAATGAAGCCGGGCGTTGGTGGCGCACGCCTTTAATCCCAGCACTTGGGAGGCAGAGGCAGGTGGATCTCTGTGAGTTCGAGGCCAGCCTGGTCTACAAAGCAAGTTCCAGGACAGCCTCCAAAACAATACAGAAAAACCCTGTCTCGAAAAAACCAAAAAAGAAAAAGAAAAAAAAAAAAGAAATCCTGCCTTGGAAAAAGGAAACAGAAAATATAATAGCTGATAAATGCCCAATGCCTAAATGTTAGACATGTGATGGCGTGCTTCTGTGATCCCAACACCCAGCTGAGGCTGGTAGTCGGCCACAAGTTATGGCCCTGCATGCTCAACATCAAGTTCAGTGCTGAAGGGATGGCTCAGTGTTAAGAGCATCGTCTCCTCTTCCAGAGGAGCAGGGTTCAGTTCCCAACACCCATCTGGCACAGCTACAACTGTAACTCCAGGGAACTGATGTCCTCTTCTGATCTGCAGACACCAGGCACACGCTGGTGTTCAGAATTCATGTAGGCTAATAAATATCTGTACATTTAAGAAAGCAGGTGGGTGGTGGTGGTGAACACTTTTGATCCCAGCACTCGGGGCAGAGGCAGGTAGATTTCTGAGTTGGAGGCCATCCTGGTCTACAGTGTGAATTCTGGGACAGCCAGAGCTACCCAAAGAAACCCTTGTCTCAAAACACCAATAAAATGAAATTTAAAAAGTAAATGGTTTGGCATTGTGATTAAGAAAGCATTTTAAAATGGAGCCAGAGAGATGGTACCGCAGGTGAAGACACAGACTGCCAAGCCTGACAACCTGGGTTTGATCTAGGTCCTACTTAAAGTTGTCCTGACCTTCCAGAGTTCATGAATGCATGTGAGCGAACACACACACACCTGTTCATAAAGATGTAATTTAAAAAAATTCAGTCTCAGCCGGGCGGTGGTGGCGCACGCCTTTAATCCCAGCACTCGGGAGGCAGAGGCAGGCAAATCTCTGAGAATTCGAGGCCTGGCTTGTCCGACAGCCTCCAAAACAATACAGAGAAACCCTGTCTCGAAAGACCAAAAAAAAAAAAAAAAAAAAATTTCAGTCTCTGAGCTAAGTGTAGTGGCAGATGCCTACAATCCCAGCACTGCAGAGGCTGAGGCAGAACCAGGAGTGGTGGTTCATGCCTTTAATCCCAGCGCTACTGAGGCAGTGGCAGGTGGCTCCTGAGTTAGAGGTCAGTCTGGTCTACCCAGTGAGACCCTGTGTCGAAAAGATAAAAATAAATGAATAAATAGATTTTTAGAATGGCTGAGGCAGGTTTAAGAGCAAGCAAGATGGTTTAGAAAGCCAAAGTACTCGCTGCTAAAAACTGACAATCTGAGTTCCATTCCCAGAATCCGCATACAAACAATAATGAAATTGTCTTGTAAAAAATAGTTTGCGACTATTTGGGGCTACGTGGCAAAACCTTTTGTGTGAAAAAACTTAAAACATTCAATCTCCGGAATCTAACTGGAAACTGTGTAATTGAGTCAGAGGTACAAGTTGGAAACTGCCTGGGAAGTCCTGTCTGTATGGTTTCCCAGCTGTGCACACTGAAACAAGTGCCTCACCTTCCTGGGACTCAGGAGGGAGTAACAGAAACTGCCCAGTCGACCACAGCCATGGACTAGCTGCTAAATGTATTCTGCAGTGTTCATCGGCATTAAGCACTCAGCAAAACTGGTCATTATTTAAACTCCAACTAAAAGGGACCTGGGAGTCCAATACAGAGTTACTAAGCACCTAAAACATCACTGTCCGGCACACTCCCTTAATGCTTATTGGCCTAAATCTGGGTATTTGAGGATACAGACCATGTCTATAATGTTATCTTGATGTTTTGGGGTTTTTTCCTCCTTCAGTGTTGGATTTTAAACCCAAGGCAAACTCTACTACTGAACTTACAACATCTAGTGATTATAACATGTAAGGGGCTAGAAAGATGGCTTAGTAACCAAGAGTATGTGTTACTCTTGTACAGGACTGAGGTTTGGCTCCCAGCACCTTTGCAGCAGCTCACTGTCATTTTTTCAGTTCCATGGAGTCCAACACTCTTCTAGTATGCACAGGGTACCAGGCACACACATGGTTCATGTACATAAATGCAGGCTAAACATTTATGTACATAAAACTTTTAAAAAGAAATTAAAAACATGGTGACTCATACCTTTAATCCAGCACTCTGGAGGCAGAGGTAGGCAGATATGTGACTTTGAGGCCTGTTTGATCTATGTAGCAAATTCTATGCTAACATGTCTCTTACCATAGTAAGACCTGTGGTAGTGGTGGGGGATGCTAAATGAATTAAGAATAATGACTTACGCTGGGCGTTGGTGGCACACGCCTTTAATCTCAGCACTCAGGAGGCAGAGGCAGGCGGATCTCTGAGTTCGAGGCCAGCCTGGTCTACAGAGGGAGTTCCAGGACAGCCTCCAAAACAATACAAAAACCCTGTCTCAAAAAACCAAAATAATCTCCAAAACAATACAGAGAAACCCTGTCTTATAAAACCAAAAAAAAAAAAACCCAAAATAATAATAAGAATGACTTACAGTTATCAATTGCCTGCTATGTGGCCACTGCTTTCAGGAATTTCCAATGTAATCAGTGAGACTGCACAGATTAATGGAACATTGCAAATTGTAAATACAAATATGTACACATGAGCACTAAAGATTGAGTCCAGCCCCTCTCAAATGTCTGTCAATCACTATCAGTGTGCTGCTATATGATTGATTGATTTGGTTTTTTGAGACAGGGGTGTAGCTTTGGAGCCTGTCCTGGAACTAGCTCTTGTAGACCAGGCAGCTCTCGAACTCGCAGAGATCCACCTGCTTCTGCCTCCCAAGTGATGGAATTAAAGGTGTGCGCCACCACTGCCCAGCTGCTATATGATTCTCTTTTTTTTTTCTTTTTATGATTCTCTTTTTAATTATTTATTACACATACAGTTTTTTATCTGTGTACATGCATGTACTTCAGGAGGGGGCATCAGACCTCATTATAGATGGTTGTGAGCCACCATGTGGTTTGCTGGGAATTGAACTCAGGACCTCTGGAAGAGCATGCAGTGTTGTTAACCTCTGAGCCATCTCTCCAGCCCCTGCTATATGATTCTTACGGGTACATGATGCAGAGGCGGCTGACCCAGTCTGTGGTTGGGTCAAAGTCAGGGAAAACTTGCAAGGAACTGATGTGGAGAGCTGGACTCTAAGGAGGAGGGAAGCCTAGCTCAGCTGTCTGTTGGGGACGTGCTCTCGACAGATGCTGAAGCAGCAGTTGCACTTGTGCTATGAGAGCCGAACAATGGTGCATCAGCCCTAGCTGTAGGGAACTGAGGATAGGGTTGGCTGCGAAATATAAGTAGGTGCGTTAGTAACTGAGTCAGAGCCAGTGAATCTGGAAGTGCATGGAGCCTAGGATCTAGAAGGCTTACTGCTCAGCACATTCTGGAGAAAACCCTGGGAAACAAGGATGCACCGTAGTACCAGTCTGCAATCCCAAGAACACATGAACCAGTTCAAACTATCTCAATTTTTTTTTCTACATACTTAGTGGTACCCATCATTCTGTCTTGAAACTTGACTCATTTGGAGACTATAAGAACCACACTGGGTCCCAGCACTCGGGAGGCAGAGGCAGGTGGATCTCTGTGAGTTCGAGGCTGGGCTGGACCGACAGCCTCGAAAACAATACAGAGAAAACCTGTCTCTTAAAAACCAAAAAAAAAAAAAAAAGAACCACACTGTGCTGGGCAGTGGTGTCACGTGCCTTTAGTCCCTGCACACGGGGCAGAGGCAGGCTGATCTCCGTGAGTTTGAGGCCTGTTTGATCTATGTAGCAAATTCCAGGCTACTACGGCCCAGCAATTTGTCCCTTTTTGAGGATTATTTAATGTAAGTTTATTTTTATTTTATGTGCATTGGTGTTTTGCCTACATATATGTCTATGTAAGGGTGTCAGGCGCTCTGGAACAGAAGTTACAAAAGTAGTGAGCTAGCATATGTGTGCTGAGAATCAAACCCAGGTCCTCTGGAAGAGCAGTCAGTGCTCTTAACTGCTGAGCTATCTCTCCAGCTCCAATATAGTCTTAATGTATAGCTGAGACTCCTGATCCGCCTGCTTGTTCTCCCAGGAGCTGGTATTCCTTTTGAGCTGAATATCCCATTGTCTTGTTGGTTTGGTGGTTTTGTTGTTTGGAGTGTTCTGTTGCTATTGTTTCTGTTTCTGTTTTTGAGACAATGTCCCTCTCTTGTTTTACTACATAGCCCAGGCTAGCCTTGAACTTACTTTGCAGCTCATGGTAGCATTAGACTTGTAGTTATCCTTGCCCGGTGGTGGTGGCACATGCCTTTAATCCCAGCACTATGGAGGCAGAAGCAGACGGATCTCTGTGAGTTTCGAGGCTAGCCTGGTCTACAAAGCTACACAGAGAAACCCTGTCTCAAAAAATCAAAAAACAAAACAAAAAAGCCATGGTAGTTATCCTATGACTTTGGCTTCCCAAGTACTAAGATTACAGGCATGGCCCTTTGCCCCCTGCCGGTTATTCCACTGTCAGCAATACACCCCATTTTATTTTCATATTCATCCACTGATAGACATCTTTTGTGTTTCCACCCTTGGGGCTATTGCAAACCATTAATATTTTCTTTCTTAGATTGATGGAGATAAATTATTTTTAGATCATACACATATGTTTATATTCTAATTTTATAAGCTTAGCACTTGTGATAATTTTGAAATATGTGTGATCTTCATCCCAGTTTCCTGGCTTACAACTTCAAAAAGCTTTTGAGTCTCCAAAGTGATTTGTCCTTTTATATGCTAATGAGTTGAGTGCTGCCTGGCAGCCTCCTGCTTGCTTCAGAATGAGAGCTAGGTGACCAGAATGTCTAAGATGACATTAAAGGGTGGGAACTTCCAGCCCCACCTTCTACCTTTAGATGGGGGTTGTACTGAATCATCACTGATCACCAATGACCAGTGATTTAATCAATCATGGGTATGCAATGAAATCACCAGAAAAACCCAGGAGGGGCCTTTGGAGGGGGTGCAGCTGCTTGTGTGGCATGTTCAAGGCGCTAGCATCCATCCCCAATATCACGAAACAAAGCCCAAAATGAAGTTACTAGAAAGCAGTACCCAGGCTGGGCAGTGGTTGGTGGCACACACCTTTAATCCCAGGACTCGGGAGGCAGAAACTGCTCATCTCTGAGTTTGAGGCCAGCCTGATCTACAGAGTTAGTTCCAGGACAGCCAGGGCTCTTACACAGAGCAATCTGTCTCAAAAAACAAACAGAAGAGGTCGATCTCTTTCTTCATCTGTATTCTTTGTCCTGTTTTGTTGTTTTAACTTTGAAACATTTATCTGCAAGCCTACCTCATCCATTATCTCCCTTCAGGAAAATAGAGGGCTGTGTAGTAAATGTCATCCTTTAACCTTTGGTTACAACAGCATTAAGCTCTTAGTTTCATGGCCTTAGAAGCCTTCTTTGAAATGATCTACATCTGTATTCTTGGTAATGCCCTCCATTACCAAAAGGTGAATATAAGCAAATGTCTATGAGTAGTTGCCTGAGCTGCAGTGAATTAAGAGGTGTAAGAATCCTGGCTTGCAACGGGTCCTTCAGAAACAAGTAAAACAGCCTGGAACTCAGCAC